CTGATCTCACGAGCCCGTTCGCGCCGATTTTGGTGGGACGCCTCAGCTAGAATTGCCGTTTGGCCTCCCCAACATGTATCTCTTGAGAGCCTCATGGTCACAAAACGCTGCCAGGGGCATCATTTGGGAGCCCCAAGGGGGAGCCACCCTGGCTGATCTCACGAGCCCGTGACGAGAGAGAGAGAGAGAGAGCAAGAGAGAGAGAGAGAGGAAGCGAGAGAGAGGGAGAGGAGAGAGAGAGAGAGAGAGAGAGCGAGAGAGAGAGAGAGAGGGGGAGTTGAGAGAGGAGACAGGCGAGAGAAAGAGAGAAGAGAGAAGAGAGAGAGAGAGAGAGAGAGAGAGAAGAGAGAGAGAGAAGAGAGAAGAGAGAGAGAGAGAGATAGAGAGAGAAAGAGAGAGAGAGAGAGGAGAGAGAGAGAGAGAGAGTGGAGAGAGAGGGGGGGAGAGAGAGAGAGAGAGAAGAGAGAGAGAGAGAGAGAGAGAGAGAGAGAGAGAGAGAGAGAGAGAGAGAGAGAGAGAGAGAGAGAGAGAGAGAGAGAGAGAGCGAGAGAGCGAGAGAGAGAGAGAGAGAGAGAGCAGAGAGAGAGAGAGAGAGAGAGAGAGCGGGAGAGAGCGAGGGAGAGCGAGAGAGAGCGAGAGAGAGCGAGTGAGAGCGAGAGAGAGAGAGAGAGAGAGAGAGAGCGAGAGAGAGCGACAGAGAGCGAGAGAGAGCAAGAGAGAGCGAGAGAGCGAAAGAGAGAGAGAGAGAGAGAGAGAGAGAGAGAGATAGAGAGAGAAAGAGAGAGAGAGAGAGAGATAGAGAGAGAGAGAGAAGAGAAGAGAAGAGAAGAGAAGAGAGCGAGAGAGAGAGAGAGGGAGAGTGAGAGAGAGAGGAGAGAGCAGAGAGAGAATAGAGAGAAGAGAGAGAGGAGAGAGAGAGAGAGAGAGAGAGAGAGCAGAGATAGAGGCAGAGAGAGAGAGGCACAGAGAGAGAGGCAGAGAGAGAGAGAGAGGCAGAGAGACAGAGGCAGAGAGAGAGGCAGAGAGAGAGAGAGAGCAGGGAAAGAGAGGCAGAGACAGAGAGAGGGCAGAGAGAGAGAGAGAGAGACAGAGAGAGCAGAGAGAGCAGAGAGAGAGGCAGCTCAGTCACACTTAAATCCAGATTCGTCCTCACCGAGTCCCACCACCAAGGGAGCGCCAGCAAGGAGATGCACATATGGGGATCCCCACGCAGTGAATAATTTCATTACGTCCCAGGCCCCCCCGCTGGGCCGCGCACATGCCGCCGGTCATGATTTGCACCCCCCCCTCTTGGACACCCCCCTCTTGGCCGCTCCCGATCATCTGGCGACAAAAAGCCACGCACGACACCGAGCAAAAAAAACACGGAATGGGCGCCCGAGCGATGGCGAGAGAGAGGCAGGCGGACCTGGGGCTCAGCCTCGAGTCGGAAGCGAGGAGCAGCGAGGAGCATCCTTGATCATCTGGCGACAAAAAAGCCACGCACGGCACCGAGCAAAAAAAAAACACGGCATGGGCGCCCGAGCGGTGGCGAGAGAGAGGCAGCAGGCGGACCTGGGGCTCGGCCTCGAGTCGGCGCGTCGAGCGGAGGGGGGGGGGGAGAGCGAGCAGGGGCGGGCCTCCGCAGAGGGCTCGGAGGTCCCCCGGGCCCTCCGAGAAGTTTTTGAAGAGGCCTTCCCTCTGGACGCCCGAAATGGGTATTGAAAGAATGGGTACAATGCCCAACAGCAGTCCCTGTTCAATTTGGACAGGATTCGCTGTCCACACCGCCGCGGCCTGTGTCCATTTGAGACAGAGGGCCGCCTGTCCAACAGCGGCCGCTGTTGGTTTGGGACAACATTTGCTGTTAGGCATTGTGCCCATTTTTTCGGTACCCATTTCGGGCGTCCAAATTCCCCGAAGACAGGCACAAACTTCCCAGAAGGCGCGAGGGCTTCTGCGAAGCCCCGCCGGCTTCTGAGGAGGCCTTCTCCTTCTCACTTCCCCCCCCCCCGCTCGCCGCGACGCTGGGTGTCCAAACATGCGACGTCCTGACGCAATACGCGATCCCCCGAAGTCCCGACCCTTTCCATGAGACCGGCTTTTCGTCCCGAGTCTGGTTCTGAGGTTCCCGTGGCCCGGCGAGGGCCCCCGGAGGCCGCAAACGGCCAAAAATTTCCCGCGTCTTGACCCTTTCGCGACGCGAGCGACTGTCGATACTCCAGGTCCTTCAATGAGCCCCCCCCCGTGCCAGCCTGTCCGACGCCCCTTGCCCGCCCCCCCACACGCCCCGAGCCTTCCCCCTCTCGCTCCCCAACCTCCCCACGCCCCCCGAGGGACAGTGGTTTCCCACCCCCCCACGCGATCCACGCCCCCACGCTTATTGAGAGACCTGGAGCACTCGACAGTCGCTCGCTCGCCGCCAGGGTCGCCAGCACCTGCCGCCCGCTGCCGCGCTCCCGTCCCCAGGCCAGGGGGGGGCCGCACCCCCCTGCCCTCTTGGGCCCCTCGGTGGGCCCGC